TTTGATAGGCAAAGAAGAAGTTTAGTTCCAACTCTTGCTGTTTAGAACTTGGTTATATTTACTAGAAGAAGAAAAAGCTTTGCAGGTACTGTTAGAAAACAGTGAGAATAAATATTAAACAAGCACTCAGTTATTGTTGAGCTCTGTCATTTCAACAGCTGTATTGATGCTTTGCTTTTAGACAGCTCAGTACAATAGTTTTAGTTTGGTAAATAGCAGAGTGTGTTGGTTTTATGTAGAAACTGTGAATATCCTGAATTGCCAGATGGTAAATGGCCAAGAGATGGCAGAGAACTGACTCGTATTCAGTTTTAAAGTGAAGTGCACTCAGGACGATAACAAGAGGCTCCCAGTGCTGCTAGTGGTGCTGTCCCACCAGCTGCTAGCGGGTGCAAGACTGTGGTTCTGACCTTGCAGCCCACCATGGTGTCTCTGGGCAGCAGAAAATTGTTTGACGGTACAATGAATTTTGATATATTGGGAAACTTGTGGAAGTACGGTTCTAAATATTCAAAAACCATGCTTGGTTACTATTACTGACCAGCTTGTTTACCTTAAAAAAACCCAACAAAACAAAACCAAACAAAAAAAACCCACGTCGTGTGGAATGTAACAATAAAAAAAGACTGGTGTGATTGCTCGGTGGAACTGTTGAGATCTAACGGATGATTTTTGCCATTGCAGGATCATCAGCCTTTTGCAAATGCGCATGATGTGCTGGCTCGTTCTCGGAGCCGTGCCAACGTGTTGAACAAAGTGGAGTATGCCCAGCAGCGCTGGAAGTTACAGGTCCAAGAGCAACGCAAATCTGTCTTTGACCGTCATGTTGTGCTGAGTTAATTGTGTCTCAGAAAAACAGCTCCAGGGAAGTAAAGTGGACTGATTGAGAGAGCTGACTTGCATCTTCCGGATCCTGCCAATTCAGAAGGGTTTTCCTGAATGGTTCATTATTGATTTGAACAAAATAAAGAAAAAAGTATTTGTACTTTGAAGGAATATTGTGGGGTGAAAGCAATTGAAAAAGATTAGTTAACCAAAAGCTAAAGTCTTTATGTTTTCAAATGGCTTTTACTAACAAAACTGAAAAGAAAACAACCCTAAGATATCTTGGGTTGCCACTGTGGTACCTTATATACAGTTGTGACTTTATGGTGGTTTTTAACTATATATTTCTCTTTACTATTTATGTGGTTAAAAAGTACCTGGGAACACAGTAATTACTTACGACTCACTAATCACTTTATGTAAAGACCTTTTGTAAATATTCTTGGGTTTTCTTCTGACTAATGCTAGGTACTAGAAATCTAAATCTTGCTGTGTAGTTTTCACATCAGAGAATGAAATCCTGATTGGCTGTATTCATCGTTTGGTTTCTTGCACTCGTACTTTCAAGATGCTTGTATGTCAAGAGATGTTTGCAGGTTTAAGGCAAAACTTAAATGGACACTGACTCTTCGAGCTGCATACTTCAAGTACTGTGATGTAGATAAACTCAAATGCAGTGTATATCAAGACAGCGTTGGTATTTTGTTCTATTTTGCTTTAATAGCTTAATATATTGGATGTATATGGTATCTCTTTAAAAAATCTTCTCCCGTTCTTTTCATGGGTAAAGTCTCAGGAGTTAGTATATGATTAAATATTTATTATAAAAGTCTTTCTGCATTTGTCTGGATTGATGGTGTATGGCACATACTTTCTCTAGCACCTGTCATCTTGGGAGTTAGGTGTGGTTTTTTATCTGTGGTTCTGTACTCATCTCTCTTAAGAGGTTATACAGTTGCTAGATGACTAACTTTCATATATCGCCTTTGGAATGTAACAATTAAAGCTAAAACTGATTTTTGAAAAACAGCTGTGCATTATCTGTACATCATCGTTTTTCTCCCTCATTGCCCTGCATGTCAATTCCATCTATAAAAAGCACTTCTCTGAAAATGCTTCAGAGCAGAAATGCGCACTTGTTCAGTGTGTAGATAAAGGAAAGAAAGGGTCCCCAAATTGCTAATTGAAAAAGACTTTTTTAATCCAGGACTCAAATTTAGCTATGCATGTGTAGTTGTGTTATCTTACTGAGTCTTCAGTCCCAGTGGGGAAGGAAATGGTGTGTCTGACAGTACTGTGTGTTGCCAGGTGCAGTTTTGGCTGGCTTAGTCCACAGCTTGTGGGACAGAGTAGCATGGGAAAGAAACAAACTATGCCTGTATACACAGCTCTGCCACATCAGCAGTGGAAACGTAATTGCCTCATAATGAACTTTTGATGTGGTGTTACACTTCTTAACATGGAGGGAATTTCCCAAAATTACAGGTATAATGAAGATTAAATGTGAGACTATTAGCTAACTAATGGGTGTCCTCACCTCTGATCTGGAGACAAATCCATCACAAGTCTCTTCTAAACAAATGCTGATTTTCTGTTTAAAACAGCAGCTGTGAAAATTAGTTTGCTTATGCTTTGATGGTAATTATTTCATGAAATTTTAGTGGATTGTTATATTTAGACAAAGTAGAAAATTCCAATAAATTAAAATACTGCTGTACTAAACCATAACAGAATACATGCAGGAAGTAAACAGAGTACTCCCCGATTACTTTTTCAAGGAGTCTGGTTGCATTCAATACAGTTTTAAAATTTCTAGCCCTTAATGCCAAGTTTTGTTGCCATCATAGCTGTGGTGTGGGTGGAAAAGCCAAACCAGAAATGAGCAGATCCAACTGTAAGCTACTTTGCTTGTTGTCAATTGACTATAAATGGCAGCAGGCATTGCCTCAGTGGAACAAGCTACATCATTCAGGTAAGAGACTTGTGCAATGCTGTATCCAGCAACAGATCTTCACTGAATATCACCGCTTCTGTACATCACTTCTACCAGCTATTTGGTAACAGTGCTTCTGTAGCTTTGTAATGAATTGTGTTTAATATGGTCTCTTAGTAAATAAGGTGTAAGAAAAAGAAGGTGTAAGATTCTAACTTCTCTTCTTAATACCATTCAGATATTTTCAGGTATTATTCATCAGTCTTAATATAGCACGCCCTGTTTCCTTGGATTTTACTTTCATCTCAAGATCGGCGAGTCTCTAGTATAAAAGGAGAACGATCCTAACGCTTGTGTTTCGCACTCCGTGCAGGTAGTATCTCTTGAGGGGTTGTGTTAGTCTTGGTTTCTTGCTTTGTAGGGATGTTTTGCTATGAAGCTTTCTCTCCTAAGTAAGAGACTTTCTTTCTCACACAGTGTTAAGTTGGTAGCAGCAGAAAGTTTTCGGGCAATCACCCAATCTGTGTAAGTAGAAAAGGGAAAGCTGACTGTCCACTGTTTTCATTTAATAATGGGTGTATATATTCACCTCTAATTTTCTGCATGTATATGGATGTAAAATGGATGGATGTTCATGCTTTCAGCCTTAAAAAACCCAACAGGAAGTACCTGTTTAAAATGTGCGTGACTTTCTCTCTTGTCTGACAGCACCTCTAGATGAACTCTTAACTCTTAGGATTTCTGGTGTGAGATCTACGTGCATTAGAAGAAGAGATGACACTGAATACAGAGGCATTTTGATGGAGTATGTTGTGAGCGTAGGTCCGTATGAGCAAAAATTCTCTATTAAACGTGGCAGGTATGAGATCATTAGAAAATGTTAAAATATGCCCACATCCTCGTGAAGGATTGAGAGGATCCTATTTATGGTATGGAACTGTGGTTGGAACACTTGACGCTTTGCAAGGTCTTTGTGAGTACGGAATCGAGAAGTTTCTGGTGACCTAGTTTAATATTCAGGTGTGTTTTCCATTTGAGAATGTTTTAGACAGCAACATACAGATGTGACAGTCCGTGGGGAGTACGAGCATTTTTGGGTGGATTCTGTGTAGGCAAGTATCACTTGCAGTCAGTGAGGATGGTGCACAGTAACTCTTTAAAAATCCTTTTAAATTTATTTAAGTAGCTGTTAGGTAACACTAACTACAGTTATTTAGCTATTTGAATGATGATATTGGGAAGGCACTGTAATGTAGCTTCCTATAAAACACTGCAAGATTATCTTCCTAATACATATGTAAGGATGATTTGAGTAGTTACACCTGCTATGATACCCCTCTGAAGAGAGGGTATGTGGTTTCAGTAGGCCAGTCTGAGTTAGTGCTCCAACCACTATGTGCAGTCCCTTCTTAGTAAAATAATTGGAACAATATTGTCAGGACATGCATTTTTGTTTTTCCTTGAATAAATTGTTTCATAATCCTCTCTGTCAGGAGGATTCTGTTTAGTTTTTCATGTCTGTGTTTAATATGCAGGTAAGTGCAGAAGAAGCATAAGGACCTGAAGAGAGGTCAGATTTAGGAAAAATTAATCCTCTAAACTCTTTGTAAGACTTCTTATGTAGAATGGATTTAATGCTTGACAGACATAAAATTAAGATTGAGATTCATTCCCTGCACAAGTCTTCCATCTAATTAAGATAATATGAATTAAGATTGAATGAGATATCAAATGAACAGGGAGGAAGAGTGATTAATCTTTGAAGGCTTTTTGGTGTGGATAGGAAGTCTGTTACTGGAGTTGTAGATTCAATTCTTTTTTTCAGGGTGGCGAAGGGGGTGGAGAGAATGCCTCAGATGTTGACCTGCTTTGTTTGTTTTCTGTAGAGGTCCAGGTTTTGGAGGATTCAGAGCAAGCTATACCTATGTGGGGTACATAAAGGTAGATCTTCATTTCTAAAGCTGAGGTGAAAGAAGACTGCTGTTTCCTTTAGGAAGCTTTAGTGGCTTGTTAAAATCTGTTGTGAATTTATTTTTTTAATCAGTGTTGCTTTGTACCTTCTTGCATTTTCAAATTGGACACGGTCTGCTCCATGTTGATCTTCCATCACCATTTTTGAAATGTCACAAATGCAGTGAAAGTCCCGCTAGTAATGCCAAGTGTTGGTAAGTCCAGGTGAGTTTTTTCTGCTGGTCACTATGAGTTGTTTAAACTATTATGTGATTATGCATTTCCAGGTTAAATGCAAAACCTGATGGATGGCAAAAGCTACCGTAACCTCATGGAGAAGTTGTCCGTCTGCACTGAGACTCAGCACGTACAGCTGGCTAGGCCTTTCTGTGCCGACCCGCTGGCCATGTTTCACGTGTGCCCAGAAGCACCAGACAAGGTCACTTGCCCTGAAGATTTGCCATTTCTTCCTTTTGTGTCTGAGCATCTCATCCCAGAGAACTTCTACACTGAGCCCTGCACTTTTCCCTACCAGATGCCCTATTCCAGTTACCGCAGCAGTGAGTACTCCTCTGGGCCGGCTTTCATCAGGAAGAGGAATGAGAGGGAAAGACAGAGGGTTAAGTGTGTCAATGAAGGCTACGCTAAACTGAGGCATCACCTACCTAAGGAATACTTGGAGAAACGGCTCAGCAAAGTAGAGACGCTCCGTGCTGCGATAAAATACATCAGCTACCTACAGTCTGTTCTGTGCAGTGACTCTGTGCTGCCAGAAAAACATGCCATGGAGCCAAGCCAAGCACCTAAAGCAATTAACAAACAAAACCAGGTTTTGAAGGCTATCTAAACCATTCCAAACCAAGCAAAAGGTCCTTTGGGACCTTGTAGCCACTATATTATTAATGAAGTGCACATTCCCAGCACATCTTAGGAGCAGATCATAGCACGTGTCAGTGTTAGCCCACGCAAGAGTTTTAATTTTGCAGATAGTGACTACATTTAGATATGAACAAGACAACTGGGGAAATTGCATCTGAAAGGCCTAAGTTAGTTAATTCATGGAAATCAGAAAACACTTCTGAAATGGTCACCAAACAAAACCATGTAATACCCATGTGTGTGAAGTAACTCTGTGTATCATCACAACCTGCATGCTTTATAATAAAGTCTTTCCAATGATGGGATTGAGATTCCTCTCGTTTTCTGTAATGTTACTGGTTTACTCTTGCATGCACTTTCTTAAAAGATTTTTTTTGTCTAATTGCCGGTGTTTCTCTTAAAAGGTCTTTTTAAAGGTTCCCAGGAATGTCCTTAGGTGCCAACAGAAAGGATAACTTAGTTTAAAAGGAGGAAAATAAAAAAGCACAGTTACTGAACATAGGAAGAGCATAATGTCTTGCAAGTGCTGTTTCATCCTTTTCTTATTAATTATTTTTAATCCCATTAAAAACTGTTGATTTAGCCTAATTTCTATTGAAAATTGGATTCTTCTGCAGCTGTCAGTGCCCTTAAAAATTACTGGGACTGCTTACACAACACACGGTATAAAGAGGATCTTGGCCGTGGAGGGTGGGGGGTAGAATAATCCTGCAACAGAAATGGTTCAGGGCTTTCACTGATAATTGTTGAGGTCTGGGGTGGTCCTCTTCCCTCTCCCCAGTCTGTTTCTTTGTATCAGTGATTGTTTCAGCTAAATGATATAGAACAGATTAATGTGAAAATGGTGAAGAGACTTTAGCTCGTACCTGGCAAGGAGTTCTTGCTGGATGTAAGGGAATTGTATTATTGATATTGAGCAACAATTCTGCTGACAGTGTGAGTACAGGTAGTATGTGGGTGCAGCAGAATGTGTAGGAAATGGTTACAGATTAAGTGCTCTATCCTTGTCCCTAGTTGCAATCACCCCTCTGTTACCTTGGTTTTATAGCAGCGAATTGAAAAGTGCCTGCAAAATGCCATTAAGTATTCCTCCCCCCAAAATGTGACATCTGTTCACAGCAGACATTAACAGGGCGATTTCTGCATTGTATTCTGGCATGTTTTCAATACGTGCTTCGTGGGAAAAGGGTAGAATTCATTAATCCTTCCCCTTCGTTGTGAAGAGTGCAAGTTTGTAAAGCAATTTAACCACAGTTTGTCTCAGCTTCAACCTTTCTGTCTGCATTTCAAACCGGTGTATTTGTGATGCCCTGTGGTGGTGGGCTTATTTTCTAGATCTGAACTGTAGCTTCATTTAATGTGAGTTTTGTGCCCTGCAGTAGTAGGCAGAAAGCAGAGAGGACACTGTCCCCTCTTACAATCCCTCCTCTGCCCCTGCAGCCTTTCAGTGCAATATCCAGATCAACAGGGAGCTGAAAACTGAGCAGCCGTGTGGCAGATGAACGGTCCGCTCCGTGGTCACATTCCGCTGCTTTTTAGCCACTAAGGTCAAGATGCCCGATCCTGGTGGTAAGGACTGCGGCACCTTCCATAGCAACCAGGAAACACCGGCAGCAAACGGCTGCCTGCGCCCAACGGGCAGAAGGGCGAGATTTCTGCGTCGAGACTAAAATCGACCAGACACAGAGTTGTCAAGAGCTGGTGAGTTTACAGCGCTGCTGTGTCCAAGTACGTGGAGTTATCTAGAAAAAATGCAATCTCGTAACGTGTTGCACAATTGCCTTTGGTAGTGCCCTGTTTTATAACAACATAGCAGGCAGCTGTGGGAGCGTTGAAGAGCTTTAAGATGGGCTTTAATGTAGAGTTGATACTTGCATTGCTTTGCAAAGTATTAGTGGTTCCGGCTTGTTTTGTTTATAACGAGGGAGTTTGTGCAGTTGTGAAACCAGTGAATATCCAGTGTCAATTTGAGGACTTAGACATGCTTTACAGCAATGAATCCATTGCTCCTGTTGGATTTGGAGTGATAGTTTTTCTGAAATTGTGTCCTCACAAAAAGGACTCCCAGATCAGATCTTTGAGATAAGAGGCAAAATAACATTTAAACATAATACGAGAGCTTAAACTGTATTTTGGAAAGTAAATTAGGCACTTAAGATCTATGTGTTGCTGAGTTTCCATGCAAATTTTACCCTGAGCATGCTAAACCTTTCTAAGCAATATTAAACAGAAAAGGAGTGGAAGGCTTGTCTACTAAGTGTTGTCAGATTACCAGTGATAGCACCATGTCAGTCTTACCGTGACAGCCTCTCAAGAGTTGTCACTTGTCAAATCTGAGCATCTCATTCTTTCTCATGGCAAGCCATAATCCTACTGTTATAAAACATGACAGAGCAGTTGAGAGATCAAAATATTTCCTCTTAATACATGACTATAAATAAAACAAGTAACAGGCAACTGTAATCTAATGTCACGTTCAAAAATTATCAGCTTGTCAACCTCAGCTGTGGTTTGTCAGCTTGTAAAACAGGGAGAATTTGGCTGGGACCATGGATCGCAGGTATTGCAGCACGATGCCAGCTCTGAGCACGTTCTCATGCTCCAGTGTCGTGCCCACCATCAAACTCTGCTGCAGGAGCTCTTTTGTGGTGCATCCCACCTGGATCGCCGAGCCCCTCACCCTCCAAAGGTAAAACCAAGTTCTTGTTTGAGTCTGCGGTCTGTTCTTTTTTCCTGATATCTAACAGGGTAAACCAGACTGGAATGTGCCACATTGATAAATTAACGGCTCGAACATCATTTGAGCTTTCCTCTCCCCTGCGCTGGTGCTTTTTTAGATGATATTAACTAAAGTGATTTGGCACCCTGGAGATTATGAAAAGCAAGCCTGAGTTAATCCCCTACAAGAAGAAACATTCCTTTAATATTATTTGGATAAAATAAAAGTATCTTGCATAGCAGCCATCTTCTGTGAAATGTTTCTAGTGCTTTGTGGCAGGGGATTACTTTTCCTGCCTTGAACTTGAACCTGCCATCAACCAGCAGCTTTCCTGGTTACTTTTCTGTTGTTCCCTGAATGCCCAATGTAAACTGTCAGCTGCAGTGCTACTGAGTGCACCTACAGTGTGCTCTGTGCTGGAGGTGGACCCTTTCTCTCTCCTGGTCTTTAAGTGTTGCATTGGCTTGCCATGTAAGCACCAGAGGGACTAATGCAGGTAATGCTGGCCCAGGACTCCAGCCATGGCTGGCTCACTTCCTCTAAAGGCAAAAATGAAGTGATCTGGGTGAAAACAGAAACTGATGGATTTTTTCCCTGTGGAGCAAGTAGTTGTCCCAGCGCAAGCGAGTTTTCTGTTTCTTCCCACATGCTTTGGCCTGTGAGAGTGCAACAAAGTGATCCAGTTCTTAAATCTTACGAGGTTTTTCCCCCCATGACCTACAGAAGCTGTTTCTCTCAGGGCTGCTCCATTTTCTTCTCTTCAAGGTGCCAATGGGTTAGTCACTGTCTCCCCTCCCCTGGCCCAGCAAGGAAGAGGCTGAGCACGTCTGGCTTAGACAGCAACGTCCCTGTGCTGGTGAGAGGGGAACGAGATGGATTTTACTACCGAGGTACAATAAAAGAGAAGATAGAGGTGAGCGACAGTTTGCTGTGCAGCAGTTGTGGGTATGTGTAACGGGGTGTCCAGTCCTCATGCACCATCGGAGTTTAGTGTAGCAGTTTTAATTTCAGCTGGTGCCTGGATTAGAGAACAGATCACTAAGGCAGCTTATGCTCCTGATTATGTTGAGCTCCTGATGTGACTGCTTCCAATCTGCTCCCACCTCTTGCTGCCTGGCACGCCAGGTGAGCCTCCTGCAGGCAGCACAGCCTCAGGCATCAACGAACTGACCATGATCTGATCCTTGCTCTGCTCAGCCTCCTTTACTGAGCCTGTTTCTAGGAGCGAGCAGGGGTGTTTTGGGGATCCTCATCTCGTGCAGAAGGTGAGTGCCCCCCTGAACTCCCCTTTCCTGGTGAGAGCAGTGTTGTGCACCTTGCACAAGCAGGGCCTCTGCTTCTGCTGGTACTGGACACTGAGCCAGGCTTAGACAGCGTGAGCGGTGTTGTGAGCAGTGTGCCAGTTACTGTTGTGTGTAGACACACAACCATCAATAGCACAAGCAAAGTGTTAGTGTTTTCTGTACACACTTCCAGCTTGGGTCAGCTACAGACCAATGGCTCAGTCTCTTTTCAGAAATGTTAGTGAAAGCTTTAATTCATTAGTTTGTTAGCACTTCAAACCTAGCAGAAAAAAGAGTCTATTCTTTCTTGAGAACACGGAAGTGCCTGCTTTCATTGTTGATGGAAAGCCCCTTGACTAGCCTTAACTTAGAAGAAAATAAAAATTCCCAACAACTCCCCCAAGAAGCAGCGAGTTAGCATTGTACGTAATGAGGAAGGACTCGGGCATGACTGAAGAACAGATC